TTTGTCCTTGCTGCTCCTTTCTTTTCTTGCTGGCCTCCCATGATGGGTGCAGCGCAGGTTGTGGTGCCGAATGGGAAAAGGCCCCTCTACCCCCCTGGTCCCTTTGCCTTCGGACATCCCCCCTGCCCCTCCCCCTCCCTCTCCCTCCCCAGGCCTTTTCCTCAAACCCGGGGCGCTTGTCTGAATTTGAAACTGCTCTCTCCTGGCTTTGGAACTTAGTGGACTGTTTGCTAAAATCTTTGTTTAGACCTTTCGGTTTGATTTGGCCCGTAAATTTACCCCCACCCCTCCCCCGGCCGGGGCCTCCTTTAGCTTTCTTCCCAGTCAGGGATGAACAGAAAACAGACTGACATGGGTTTGCTCTAGACTTCAACCTGGACTCAAGCTCGTCCAGTTCTCTCTGGAGTTTATCGGAAGATGTCACATTACCTGCAGAGTCCTCTTTCAATTCTTCTACCTTATCTTTCTTCTCCCCATCCCTACCCGGCTGTTTCTTCTTCTTCATTTTGAATTTGCTCATTTTCCCCAAAAAGAAGTCGTCGTCCTCGCTCTCCTCTGACTGGGAGGACTGTTTGTAGAACCGCTCCTCAGTGCTGTCATCAAAGTACATTTTCTCTTCGTCATCTGATGATTCTACACCACTCTCATCCTCCTCTTTTCTTTTTTCGGGAGTTTGAGGAGCCGGAGGGGGCTTTGAATTCTCCTCTGCAGCTTTGGTTTGAGCTTCCGACTTCACGCCGTCTTTTGTGTGTTTTTTAACAGGAGCTGGTTTTACACTCACCGGATTCAACTTTTCTTCTCTGGTAATATTGGCAGTACCAGCGGAATGGGCATCTATCTCTTTTTTCTTCTCAGCTTTGGCATCAGGTGCATCTTCAGAGCCTTTAAGGACCTCCGCTTTAACCACAATGTCTGCTACCTCTGGTGACCCCAAAGCCTTGTCTTCCTCCTTCCTCTCCTTCTCGGGTTTCCTCCTCTGTTCTTGGGAAGGCTGAGCCGCCTTTCCAGCTTGCTTCCTAGGTGGTGCCTCCCCCTCCAGCTCTAGACTCTTCATGCGGTCTTCCTTGAACGCTTTCACAGCAGCTTTGATGCTCTCGATCTTTTTATCAAATTGTGGGTGGGTGGCAATGCGTGCAATAGCCCGGTCCGATATGGTCGATTTTTGGTCTTTGCACACTTGCTCAAAGTTGAGCTGCTTCTGCAAGGCTGTCTTGGTCACCTGTCGGCAGGAAAGACGGAATCAAATGTTAGATCATTTCAAATGAAGCTGGTTCTGCATTAATCTATAGAGAAACCCTACCAAGTCCGGTGAGAGAGTCTTCATGCTGTGGACCTCTTCTAGCAGTCTTGCAGCTCTCCTCTGATTCTTCTCAACTTCGGCCTCATTTCCCTTCCTCTTTTTCAGGGCAACAATATGACGTATAAGCTTGCGGATGATCAGCACCCTCACTCTCTTCACCTCCTTCCTCATCTTCACCACCTCATTGTTGAGATTCAGGACACTACCCTGTTTCTTTTTATCTGTGTCATTATTAGGTAGTGAGGTTTGGTCATCAGTGCAATTAAGAACAGCGACTTTTCCCTTGTCTTCATCGGTTTTACAATCCTCTTCATCGTCGTCATCCTCAGAGTTCTGCTGGCCTCCCTCCTCCTGCATCTCATCTTCTAGATTCACCTCGTTTCGTAGCATCTCCGCTTCCTCCATCTCTTGTTCCTCAACAGTTTGCATATTTTTTTCCTGCACATCCATTACCTTTTGGAGAAAAAGCAGAGTCCCTGTCTGTCTTCAAGAAACTCTTGAAGACCCACCTCTTCAAAGAGCATCTCCTATCCTAACCCTAACCCGTACCTCTACCCCCCCCCACAGCTCCTCCTGTAGTCCCTCTACCTCTATCTCTATCTCACCACTGACTCTGATCAGTGTTTCTCCTCTATATAGCTTATTGTCATTGTGATGAGAAATGTAATATTGTGTCTACTCTGTAAGTCGCTTTGGATAAAAGCGTCTGCCAAATGCATAAACATAAACATAAAAAACATATTAAGTATCTGCATCCATCACTATCAACAAATGAAGCACAAGATTAAGCAGTCAAACATTTGATAAATGCCTCACAGAAATTCACGTAAGCTATTCCCTGTTGGTTGATTTTGATTTCCGGTGTTGTGCGAAAAAGTGGCTTTTTGCGAGAATCTGATTAAGCTCGCGGGAGCGCGCACCGCAGCCCGCTGAGCGATACCGTAAACCTGCTTTTCTCTGGATTAAACGGTCATGACATGCAGATACACACAGTTGCATTATAATATAGGCCTAATTAAATTATAATATAGGCCTAATTAAAGATTCGAAAGCTTAACGTTTGTCACATAACGGCAGTTACGTGATAGACATGTTTCTATACTCGGTCCGATGACTTTGTGTAGCCCTGACATGGGAGACTACACTACAATAAATATGATTCACTGGAGGGTTTTCAATAAAGATATGATAACTTTTACAACGATCCTCGTGACTCTGCATTGTTTTTTATCTGATCTGGCCGTATATAGCAGGAGTTTCCCATGTTTCTATTTGTTTTGCAGTTTTCAATCGGTTTTCACCTCCTGTCAAAATTTGATTGAAGGCACAGTATAGTCACTCAAAGGTTATTTCTACCTAAATATGACTAGCTTTCCTTCAGGAGATGCATGATTTAAAGATCTGAGCTCACAAAACAGCTTGGAACTCTTTTAAAGGACCATTACAACACAAAATAGCCATTTTGACTTGCAAAAAATGTATTAAAGCCCAAATGCTGTCATTCAAAGGGGATATCTGCTCAAATATGACTTGATTTCATTCAGAAGCATCTTATTTTAAATAGATCAAGTCCTTTTTAAGGCAAAAATCACCTTTCTTCAACCACATTTGGCCTTTAATCAATTTCTAGCAGGGCGTTTTGACCAGCCGACTTGCTAGAAACTGATTAAAGCCCAAATACTGTCATTTAAAGGGGATATCTGCCCAAATATGACTTGGTTTCATTCAGAGGCATCTTATTTTAAATAGATCAAGTCCTTTTTAGGCAAAAATCACCTTTCTTCAACCACATTTGGCCTTTAATCAATTTCTAGCAGGGCGTTTTGACCAGCCGACTTGCTAGAAACTGATTAAAGGCCAAATGTGGTTGAAGAAAGGTGATTTTTGCCTAAAAAGGACTTGATCTATTTAAAATAAGATGCTTCTGAATGAAATCAAGTCATATTTGAGCAGATATCCCCTTTGAATGACAGCATTTGGGCTTTAATACATTTTTTGCAAGTCAAAATGGCTATTTTGTGTTGTAATGGTCCTTTAAAAGAGTTCCAAGCTGTTTTGTGAGCTCAGATCTTTAAATCATGCATCTCCTGAAGGAAAGCTAGTCATATTTAGGTAGAAATAACCTTTGAGTGACTATACTGTGCCTTCAATCAAATTTTGACAGGAGGTGAAAACCGATTGAAAACTGCAAAACAAATAGAAACATGGGAAACTCCTGCTATATACGGCCAGATCAGATAAAAAACAATGCAGAGTCACGAGGATCGTTGTAAAAGTTATCATATCTTTATTGAAAACCCTCCAGTGAATCATATTTATTGTAGTGTAGTCTCCCATGTCAGGGCTACACAAAGTCATCGGACCGAGTATAGAAACATGTCTATCACGTAACTGCCGTTATGTGACAAACGTTAAGCTTTCGAATCTTTAATTAGGCCTATATTATAATTTAATTAGGCCTATATTATAATGCAACTGTGTGTATCTGCATGTCATGACCGTTTAATCCAGAGAAAAGCAGGTTTACGGTATCGCTCAGCGGGCTGCGGTGCGCGCTCCCGCGAGCTTAATCAGATTCTCGCAAAAAGCCACTTTTTCGCACAACACCGGTTTGAACAAACTCCACTACGTGATGATTTTTTATAATTAAAGGGTTTTATATGTAATCGAATCACATTAAATTCTTGCCGATTAATACATCTAAAACAGAAAATGCTCACCTGGTCGTCAGAGCCAAAACAAACGTGGTTGAAGAAGCATGGATACGTTTTACAGTTTATACTGGGGAGTATAAGAGTGCAGCTTACATCTGAATAGTTTAAATACATAAACAAGCGAATACAAAAGAGTATTATGACATAGTTTTGCCAAACTTACCGTTTAAACGTGAAAGAAATGTCGGAAAAATTAAAATAGACAGAAGCAGGGAGCCGCCATGTTTGTCACGTCCTCGGCTGCGTAATGACGTCAGACGTCGCCAGCGCGACGCAGCGTGTCGTGCTGAGGGGAGGGCCTCCGGTGGACTTTTTTTTATTTATTTCTTTGTTTCATGTGGATAAAACAACAACAATGGGGGAATAATTGAACCAATCCAAATATGAGGATGAGCGGATGACATTCCCTGTGACAATTATCAGACCGGTATCAGGAGTGAATCCACGGGGAGAGGATGAAGCGGCGCAATGCGGACTGCAGCAAACTCCGACGGCCGTTAAAACGGAACCGAATCACCGAGGGTATATATAGCAGGTACAAAGGGGGCCGGGGGGCCGTTATTGTATAACAATGGCGGCTCTCTGCATATGTCAGGACGCGGTCGGTGGGCTGAGTTGCTCCGGGGTTTGAGCTCCCACCGACTGAATGAACGTTGGGACAGTTAAAGGCCCCGGTAACGGCTCCTGTGTGGCATTTACGGGTTATTTTTTTAGCTTTTTTTTTTTTTTTTTCGTTACCGTTAGCTTTTGAAATTCAAATTTCAGTAGCGGCTGGCGAGAACCGTGCGCGTGCGGCTGCTCGAAAACGAACCGGTGGGGATTCTTTAAAAAGAAAAATGGATATAAATATAAATACAGCGTGAACTTGTGTGCGTGGGGGGGTGCACGACACCGGCGTCGTGGGACGCGCTCGTTTTGAAGTGGACCGTGCATTTGTCCCACGGTGGGCCACATTTACCCGCTATAGACCTGAGCCTTTTGGCCCTTTTACATTTTCACCCTTCTCTGACATATCTTACACTCATTATCTGCACCTCAAATCTAAATTGTTGATTTTATAAACGTAGAAAAGCCCATTAGACGGTTGTATAAACCCCATATTTATCCAGTCCATCCAGTGCTTTAGAGGGTGATTCCTTTTCTTTGCTGGTTGTGTTGTGTTTTTGTTGGACTCTTGACTGTAATCTCCCTCTTCACAGCACCTTCCTGTACCTGAAGTTCCTGGTGGTGTGGGTTCTGGTTCTGCTGGCCGACTTTGTGCTGGAGTTCAGGTTCGAGTACCTGTGGCCCTTCTGGCTCTTCATCCGAAGCGTCTACGACTCCTTCAGATATCAGGGGCTGGTAAGGGCTTGGTTTGGTTTTTACCGGGACGGGGCCCCAGTTTTTAGACGTTGGTTATTTGTTTGAACCGGTTTCCTTCCACATTCAGGCCTTCTCCGTGTTCTTCGTGTGCGTGGCGTTCACGTCGGACATCATATGCCTCCTCTTCATCCCCGTCCAGTGGCTGTTTTTTGCTGCCAGCACCTATGTTTGGGTCCAGTATGTCTGGCACACAGGTAAGTCTGAGATCTGGCAGCAGAATGGCTTTTTTATCCACAGATGTATAAAGTACTGGAGTAGAGTAGAAGTACAAGTACTGTATAAAAAATGACTTCAGTAAAAGTTGAAGTGTTCTTTCAACACCATACTTAAGTGGAAGTACGGAAGTACTCTTTTTTTTTTACTTAAGTATTGTAAATAGAAATATTTCAAAAATTGCCACTCAAGTATTCAAATTATAAGTAAAAGTACTGTGTATATTAAAAAAGGCAGTCCAAGGTTTGATAGGTATTGTTTATATTATTTCAAACCTGTGAAAGGCCATACAGGTGTTTACAGAAAACAAAACACAAATAAAGCATCCCCAAAGGCCAGAGGGGCGAGTTCAGCCTGGTGGTAAAACCTTAAGATGGAACAGCCCAGAAGCATCAACATGAGGCATCAAGCTCTTCCATCAACAGGTTATCCACGGCCTCCAGGTCAACTTAACTAGGTTTGGCTCTTAACCAGACACTGGGAATTCCCCCAGTAGGTCACAGACAATTTCCCAATCTTTGGGGAGGCATTTTTTATAGGCTATGCTTGATGGCTCAAATCGGCCAATGAGGAGCCAGCTTTCCAAACCCTGACAGAGATATCTACTGCTCTGGCTCTGACTCTATGACTAGGGATGATTTTTAACGTTTACATATCAGTAACGAGTAACGACTCAGCCCGTGAAAAATCGATCGGAGTAAAAGTATTAAATTAATCAAAAATATGTAGTGAAGTAAAAGTAGGGAAAAAAATATAAACTCCAATAAAGTACAGATACTGCATTTTGGTACTTAAGTACAGTAATTAAGTAGTTCTACTTCGTCACTGTACATCTCTGATTTTATCAAATCAATGTGTTGGATAATCTTTAGCTATTGACTCAAAATGACCTTTTTTGTCTTTGTGTCCTGCAGAGAGAGGTGTTTGTCTCCCCACTGTGTCACTGTGGATCCTCTTTGTGTACATCGAAGCTGCCATTCGCTTCAAAGATCTGAAGAATTTTCATGTAGACCTTTGCAGGCCGTTTGCTGCTCACTGGTACGAGTCCTCAGTTGGCATTTCCTTGTTTTTTGGGAGCATTATCAGTGACCAAAAGCAAAGAAGTCCCCCAATGCCGAGCATCTTCCGTCAGCGTTTTCCTGCCGTGTTTAACCGGTGATGTTTCTCCTCGTCTTTCTAGTATCGGCTATCCGGTGGTGACTCTGGGCTTCGGTTTCAAGAGCTATGTTAGCTATAAGATGCGCCTGAGGAAACAGAAAGAAGTCCAGAAGGAGAACGAGTTCTACATGCAGCTGCTCCAGCAGGCTTTACCGCCAGAGCAACAGATGCTGCAGCGGCAGGAGCGGGAAGCAGAGGAGGGTGAGACGCACAGCTCAGTTTCTACCAAACGCATTATAATCTGCTATGTTCAGATTTTCATTGATTTGACCTTCGAAAATCACAAGAATCGAGATGTTTCCAATTTCTCGTTTCTGGGCCAAAAGATAAGCAAACGCTCAAGAAGGGGCTTCTCTTCTCTTTGGTTCTTTATTCTCATTCCCTCCTCTCCCACCACAATTTGGAATTTATGCATTTTTTCAATACATTTAAGTCAAAGCAACCAAGTTTTGTGAGAAACTGTGACTTGATAAGTTTAAAAAGGTTTCTGCTGAAGCTGCTTATTGGACAAAGAGCTGTGGCCGGGGGAGACTGTATCCTGAGGGGAAGTAACCATCCTATTTTACTTAGGTTTATAACAGCTATAAAGTCACTGTGGTAAAATTCAAGCCTATTATAAATAATAATAAGACACTTCAACAAACTTAAGCTAAAAGACAAGTGACATGTCACGGCTCTCTAAGATCCATTTTTATGGTAAATTCACATGTTTTAAACCTACCAAATATCAGGGATCCTGCCATATTACTCTGTGTAACCTCTAACCTAGAATGAAAAGATTCATGCAACGTTTTAGATGCGTGTAACATCCAATTTGTAAGATACTGTCTTTTTTGCTCTCTGAAGACCCTGCATTTAATCATATGTGCAGTTAAAGTGTCCTCTGGCTGTTAAGGATTATTAGG